CTCATAATATAAAATGTATTCTTTCTATCGAAAAATTGCCAGCGCTCGAATTGGATTTTTTTTTCTTAATTTCTAACTAATACGACGAAACGAATGTAATTATATTTACAGGATTAAAAGCAGTCTGTTTTTCGACGTTTTAGACCAAAAAGCAGAGACCATCAAATTCATATTATATTTTTGTAGAATTAAAATTAGACCTGCCAAAGTCCCACAATTTTGTCACAACGAAAGCATTTTTTTACCAAACAAAAAGGTTTTTATTAATAGAAAAAAATGTATACGTTAAAAATAATAACCTGAAGCTTAAGTATAACACGTTGTTAAAGTGAATAATACTAGATGTTATATTGTATAACGTTTCAAAAACTTTTACAATATTTTGCTTATAAAGGTCGTACGTTCGCAACAAACGTCGAAAGACTATGATGTTAAATTTTCGAGATTAAGAAATGGGTATGAAGACGAAAACATAACAATACAAGAAGTACATATTATTTACGTCAACTGTTTATCACTGCGCGGCTATTTTCTTATCAGTTGTAACGGGGAAAAAAACATCGGTCTCCGAAAGCAGGTCACGGTCATATTACTACGTGTGAATCCGGTACGTACTACTACACGGTCCTAGTCGGTAGTCGGTACACTTATTACGATCTGCGCTCCAGATTTCGTGGCCAGTGTGATAAGCGAATGGGCTGGGCGCGTCTTGTGCGTTATCAGACTGACACACATTCGACGTCGTAGCGGTTGTTGTACTCACGTGGCTCGTCTCGTGTACATAAACGAACGTTGTTTTGGGTTTCGTGTCACCATCCGAAATTACCGTGAACGCACCAACAAACCCGCCGGTGTCGTCAAGCGCGCGTCAAGCGTTTTCCCCTGGAGGCCCGTGTCGTACGTTACGCATTTCAGAATCGCCGATCCACACTAACCCAGAACAACGTGTTGGTTCGGTGTTTCGGTGGATCGCGTGTTATTCGCACGGGTATTATTGTTGTCGGGCGTGCACGCACTGTATCGCCAAAAAAAAAAAAAAACCGAGGTAAGGACGAGGACGGCGGCGGTGGAGGGGTCGATAAGTTTCACTTTCGCCGCGGAGTCGCGCAGGACAATAGGTCAGGAAACGGCGGAGGGCGCGGGCGGGGTAGCGGGGGGACCACGTGCTCACGGCGTAGAAGTGACCTCGATGTACAAAACACAACACACAATGTTGTCGACGGCGCTGCGGGCTATGGCATTAACTAAACTGTCTACCGGCGTGCCAGTTCGCCCGGATTGTATTGATCAAGTTTTGTCGCTCGCAGTACCATAACGATAATCGTACGCGGCTGTGATAGATGTAATAACATGTGACGTATAATTATAATTGTAATAATATGATATTACATAACACCACATCGGACAGCCGCGGCCGTGTACCTACTAAATTACACCTGACAACTACGTTAAACGTTATTAACGTGACAAGGAGTTTTGTATGGGCAACGTATTTTGTATTTTTTAATTTTGGACTTTATGCGAAAATTGTACTTAAAAGTTTTCATAAATGTAAATTAAAAAACGGCAACAGCGCATTTTAGTGCAACTACTGCGCTAATGAAGTTTGGAATTATATTGTTTGCTTACTTTAGCGCGACTCATAAAGAGGCCGAGGAAGTTTAGACCTTCTAAAAACTCTTAGAGCTCCCTCAGAATTTGAGCTTTTTTATTCCTAAGATCTCCGAGGACTTGAATTTCCCTAGTACCCCGCTCCTCTCCTAGTTAGGTTACATTAAACAGGTAAGTACTAATGTTAACAGGTACGAAAAGTAAATGGACGTAAACTACAATCATCACCATCATCGTCAGTGAATTCTCCCGTGTGCAATTATGATCTGTGTGATTAGAATAAAGTGGGTAAATCTATACCGCCTATTTTGGTGAAAAAAACAATGCGCTTACAAAAATTTCATTTATAACAAATGTGCGCTTGTGATTTATTATTATAGTTAATGTCGTGTCACGTTTAAATTATGATACTGCGTGGTCGTAATATAATTGTCGCCAAATAAGCCAAGTACGATAAATATATTGGTAAAGTTACGCTGTAAAAATTAATGACATGATTGAATGAAAACATATTTTGTTTATGTGCTATTTTAGATTGTTGATCTTTGAAAATTAAATTATTTAAATTAAATTATTAACAAAAGTACTTTAATTACCTAAATAGATTAATGAATATTGATTACATGATTATTAATTATGTGTAATAATCAAAGTTGTTTTTATATTTAATACCTCTTAGAGTGTTATGGTCAAAGAAATCTAGCGGCTTAATCATAAATATAAAGAAATTACAATAATTATATCAACGAACTTGTTGATAAAATCCAAGTTGCCTTTATTATTCCGTAGCTCATTATAAATCATTAACAAATCATTAGGTCTGGTTCATAATAAGATAATGTATTATTCAGTAGGTTACCTTAAACATTAATTCGTGCAAATTAAATGATAATAACACCGTTATCAAGTTCTTAGTAGTGTTAATGAACAGTAGTATTGATTGCCTTAAGGTCATAAATAGAAAATTTATCTGTCCACATGATTCATGTAATTAGTTTAATCTATTATACCACATCCGCCTTGAATATGGCTCGACCAAAATTCCTTAAGTCTTGCAAATGTGTTTTTTTTTTAAATTCAAGTATAAAGAGTCATACTTTTTTTAATTACTCAAAATTAAATTTTAACTACTCATAATTCTTTTAACATAGTTAATATTCGAAAACATAAGCGATTTGTGGTATAAAAAATCAAATGAAATGTTGTCAATCTCTTTGGGAACAAATAATAATAAAATTATTTTATTATTTATAAATCGGATCGATACGAAAATCAACACACCACTGGAAGAACTTAAAATTAAAATGTGTGCTAAAAAACTATACTGAAATGTGTAGAATGTGAAATAAAAATAGTCATGTTCGCGACGGCAAAATTAAAACTCAAAGCAATAATATTTCCGCGGTCGCTTGTGCTATTGCAGCTAGTCATAATCTAATTTTACACTTGCAGACTGCAAATTAAAATATATTTATCTCGTTGCTCGTTTTATATGCACATCAAAACTAGTGTAGTGCACTTAATGTGTGTAAATTTATTTACTCATCATTACATAGGGTAAACGCTTAAACTCTTGACACGAACCAGAACGCGTTAAATAGTAGTTAGAAACATACTCTCAACGTTAATTTTCGACTATTGTGTAATGCTTGTCAAATAAAATAACTGCATTTAGTTTGGAAGAATTTTAAAACACAATAATATATACAATATTATAGAAGTTTAAAAACAACTACAGTCACTTGTCAATAAACAACAAACACAAAACGTACAATTTCATTTATTCCAAGTTGTGTTCAACTTAGTCACGATTTTCAGTTATAATCGTTTATGCCTATTGTAGAAACTAGAAAGATAAAAATGATTATATTGAGTACATTGTAGTCTATGACCGTTTGACTATTCTCAATAGAAAAATAAAAACATGAGTCCTCGCAACTTAAATAGAACGAAATCAAATAAAAGCGGTTCGGTTAAAGTAATATAAATTGTTGTTACATCACCACGATGACGGATTTATATTATTATTATTATGGGTGACAGTAAAAAATATATCCTACACAGTAGAATATAATTATTATTGAACCGTGGGACCATTTGTGATGTGTGGCCTTGTGGCCAACGTACCGTGTAGCAAAACTTGTATGAATACTATGTTTGAAGGGAGACAGAAGTAGACAGTTGGTATACATATATATTTTTATACTTAACATATTCATCATAATTAACAGACAAAGAGTGAAGTGTCGTGTTTTTTTTGCAATAATAGACATTAGCGCCTTGAATTCTCACAAGCACATTGTGGTAGTTGACAATTTTCGATTTGTTTTTCTCGTGGACAATAACACTGTACAGAGTACATCAATTTAAAAATATTGTTACACTTTAATAATTATATTCAAAAACATATAAAAAATAAGTCCCCTAAAATACAACATGTTCAAAACACTGCTGTAATCAGAAATTTGGTGTAGGTATTCAAAAATATGAAATCGTTACGCTCTACAAAATATTTTTTTTTTTTGGTTTATTTTGTTTACAAAGTCAACTTAATATTATATTTTATGAATGGAGAGATGTTTTTATTCGATTAAACAGACTTAATAACGATTTATGTGGATATTTTTATATTCATCGTTTATATTAAGTAAGTAAAGTAAGTATAAAGTTAAGCGTCCGTGCCTACTGTATTCGTTCAATTAGACCACTTTGTATTTTTTTTAGACTTTATGTGAACCACTAGAGTCAAACATTTTGACCGTCTACACTCTAAATGGATTATTTTTATAAGATGGTTTTTTTGACCGACGGTAAATTCATATTTTTGGTAAACCCATTGACAAACAAACGTCAAAACGTTATTGTGGGATAAGTACAAAACGGTCGGTAATTTATTTTGATTCTGCGATATTTGCCGGAGCTAAACGAGTTGGCAAACATTTTACTGGCAGCGAAACTTTGGCGTGGACTTATAGAACATTTTTTTAAATCTTTATGTGGGCGATAGACGCACACGTTGGTTGGAACATAAGGCCTCGCTATTAATTTGTTATTATTGTATTTATTGTAATTACACAATAATTTCAAATCCGATTTTTAACCCATTCGGTGTAGTGAAACGTATAGTACCAGACACAGTACAACGACTACAGCCGCAGTAATGGGCTATTGGATAGACATTGTTTTAACGTGTGCTCTTAATCCGAGAAAGCACACAATTTTTAACAGAACAGTGCGATAGTACAATATCCTAAATATTACATTATAATGTATGCGTGCGACTTAAATTTAGAGATGATTTGTACGGTTCAAAAGATATAATATGTTGCGCGCGCTAAACGAATGGCACTCGACGTGGATTAATGCACGTGACGCATGTTATAAATTACCTTGTAGCATGTAAATCGTGGCTTGATACTCGGCCAATTTCTCGTCCACGTAATCCTGCGATTGTGAAGCGACAATTTCCGCTGTTGACCGACCGTCGACGACATTGTCTTCGTCCGACCATTGTTGAGGCGAAGGCGCCTCGAGTACCACGAACTCCCGGGGCCGGTACGCCGACGGCTGCGGCTCGCAAGACCGTTCGAATATTTGCGGAGACGGACACTATACCCACACACATATATTTATATAATTTAAAAAATGTAAGGCTCGGTGCACACAACACAACCAAGTCCATGTTTTTTTGTTGTGAGGGTTTTTCGCGCAAAATATGTTTAAGAGGACGCTACCCAGGGGCGGATATAAGGAATAAAGTATAGGAATTTTCTTGAAAAATCTTATAGTATAGAGTTTGAACTATAGTGTATTAATGTACTTATATAGTGTAAGTTACGTATAAGTATAAGTTATAGACTTATTATAGTGTACTTATTAATACAGGGCGATTATCATTTTATCGTGAACCACTCAATATTTCATTGGGTTTAATAAGACAATTATTTGTTTATATTGTTTTTTTATAATATGTGATCGACCCCCCTCCCAACTTATTTTTTTTTTGATAGTAACTTTTGAACCAAAACGGGAACGCAGATACTTCACTAACTATTAAAATGTTTAAAATTTACTAAACATTTTGACTGGTTGATAACACATTTTGAAGTTATTAAAGTTTCAAGCAAGGAGGAAAGGTGAAGTGCAACATTATTCTTATCTGTGCGCATTTCCCTTCCCACCCTAAGCTTTAAACTTTTATAGTTTTAAAAATTGTTGTTCAAAACTGGTTATCAACTAGCCAAAATGTTTAGTACATTATTCTCAATTTAAAAAGTTAATGAAATGTACGCCGGACCGTTTAAGTTTCAAAAGTTGCTATCAAAAAAAAGAAATTTGGAAGGGGGTAGGAATATAAAAATGTGTAGAAAATTGAGATCACGTTTTATAAAACTGTTTTGCGCAGGACAAGTATGCGAGGGCCGAGGCCAGTATTAAGGGTAGATTTACAAAATGTTCACAAGGTATAGAGAAGAACTTGATTTAAAGGATAGCGTTTTTATTTTTTCGATGGCTGTACTTGAAATTTTTTTTATAAACAAATAAAAGACGGGGAAAAAAATGAATCTTCACGAATGAATAATTCTGATCGTGCTTAAGTTATCAAAAAACTGCTTCGAACCCTCCACGTGGCAATACACGGTAGTCGAAGATTATTCTGTTTTTTTGAAAAAGTACTTACCGGCGACGGATATCTGTACGGCTGCGGTCCGGATGTCAGGGGAGACGACGTGGGTCTCATAGGTTTCGGACACGGAATGTATGGCGGCGGTAGTCGATGGACCGGCGATTGACGGGTTGGGGTAGCCGGCCGAAAAGATACGGGCGGTGACGTCACCGAAGGGACTGGAGCCCAGCCTTTGGGATGAGCTGGTGGTCTTGACATTGTGCGAGGTCAAAGAGTTGATCTGGAATCCAATCGGTTGTATGTTAACGAGTGTACTTACCATCTATATACAATGTTTTTGCACAATAAATATAGTGTAGCTTGCATAGCACGTAGCGGAAGTGATCCGTTAGCTACACATGAAGAAAACTATGTATATATAGCTTTATTATACATATTATTGATAAAACATATTTCCAGTAGGTCATCCGTTGGCCATTTCTTCTAGAGATTCCTCGGACTAGGACTGTCGGGAAAAGATTATGTTTATGTGGTGTGTGGTACACATAAACTAACAAATGGTAGATGTACTAATGGAAAATTAACAATGAAGTCACAAAAATTGCCATCAAAGATAATTATCACTAAAATCGTAATTTTCTTATCCCCATTTTGCTCAGACCCAACAGATTGATTAAGTATTCATCTGAATACAATTATAAAAGTATTTCAAATACTACAAGTAGTCTACGTTATCAAATTAAAATAGAAAAATAAAAACACATTAATTATGAAGGTTGTTGTTGACATTTATTTTTATTATTTTAAGTCAATATTATAGTAGTAATGTTATCTAGTTACAATGAAGCACAGTATTTTCGATAGATTACAGTACCATTAAGACCAAGTTATGTACACTTTTATTGCTATGGTTTATTATTTTTTTTTTTAGGTATATTTTTTATGTACCTATAAAATTCGTTGAGGCACAATACAATACTGTATGTATGTTGTTAGCATGTTATTGGCTGTTAATCTTATGCCGACCAAACAAGTTATACTGTACCTATAAACTTACGGATTCTTTTAAAAAAACGACCTCTGTTTTATATTGTTAACTATCAAGTATCTTAGTACGACCACGCAATAGTAGCTTAATAAAAAAAATAGGTTTAAATAAAAAAACATTGATGTAAATTTCACAGCACTAATAAAAACGTATTTTTTTACAACACCGCATAGGTTATAATAATATAGTAATGAGAAAAAAACACCCAACTCTGTCTAAACTAATATTTTTTTTTAATTCCAAATCCACACTTAATAGTATTTGAGTTTTTTCGTACAAAAGAAAAAAAAGGTTGACATAAGATTTTGTCTTAGCATTTAATAGAATATAGATATAAATTACACCTAGCTTTGGTCTTATTTTCAGACTAAATGAACATCCTCTTAAATCTTTAAACTGCACTTAAAGAATAAAATAAAGAAACAACTTTCAGCCCTCGTAGTGAATGAAAGGTTATCAAAATTAGAATTTTAGACGATTTGTGGCAAGTCTAATAATAATGTTTACAAACAATTCGACTTCAGTTATAGCATGTTTAAATTAAAAATTAAAACACCGACACATTTGTTTGCGGTTATCCCGTTTTATGAGGCAAAGGGGATGACTATTTGGACTTTTAATCCCTTTAAGTACCAACTGCATGAGATTTAGAATCTATAATAATGCTACTCAAGAAATCGGTCAAAAGTCGACTTGCTTACTCTCTCCATTTAAAAATAAAATATATTTATTTGTCTGTTATTGAACATTTAAACCAGCTTGTGCCAACTTATATTTTCTTCGAGCATTATTTAAGAAATTACTTACAATATATACATGTTATGTAATAAAATCACTATTTTTAAAAAGTTATTATATTGCACTTATGCTGTGTGTAAAATAAATGCTGTGTGTACAGTATTTAAAATGTTTTTTAATTTTTCAATAGTATGTTGAAATATTGAAACATCTGTTGTTGGTAATGTTATAACTTATAAGGTAGCCGCAATCGAGTACCTACCTAGTATAATACTGTTTTAATAGTTCAGAACAATATATTATTAATATATATATATTATTAATTTATATATAATTATTTTTCACATGAATTTGGAGAGATAAAAACGTAGACGTAAATATATTTTAAAATTAACTATACCGTAAACATAATAATATGTTAAAATTAGGTCAATTAATATTATTAAAAATAATGATTAGTGTATGCTCGGTGCCAAGCTGAGTAGAAAAAAAAATTTGCTTAAAATATAGTACTAATGGCGGGTCTTGACCTCGGCATGAAACGTTAGTAATGATCATAAAAATAGAGTGACAAGGGTATGATTTTTGATTCGTCCAAGTAATTAAATTTTTCGAGCGTAGTTTATATAAGCAAATGACAAAATATATTACCCATTTTTAGAACCAACGTTTCTATGAAGAAAAAAAAATATGCAACTCAAATTCGTTAGGTTAGCATTAGATAAGATGTGAGATCACAGTTTAAGGAAACTTATCGGTTTCCATATTAAAGAACAGTTCAATAACAATAAAAATGTTAATGATTTATTGCCTAGTGGTATTTTTTAAAATAAAAACATTGATGTTGAGAGAGCATATTATACATTTACTCTCTTCCTATGTCAATATAAATTATATTAATATGATTAATTTTAGTATAATATAATACCTATAGTATACACATTTCAATTTTGCCTATAGAATTATAATGATTGCTTGTTAAGTATCATCTATTTCAAACTGCTTTGAATAATCTTGAATTTTGCTTTTCCTAAGAATTAACGTGTAAAGTCGTAGCCAGCGTGTGTCTTGTGTTCAATTTTGAGTTTAAGAAATTACAAAATCAGGAAAAACGCAAGCGTTGAACTAGTTGAAAAGCCAAATAATAGCAGCAATAACATAATATATGCACCTCATTTTTTTTTCGCAACGTGGCATGATCATGTAACACCCAAAAGATTCTAAAAGAAAAATTTACCAGAGAAAAAAAAATAAAGGCTAATGTGCAAGTTTTAATGAAAGATAGCAAACATCCGGTCATACAAATAGGTTATTATGGTTCTGATAAAAAAAACACAAACTGTTCTCTTATCCATCGTGGCCGGTTTTTAAATATTAACAACATTTTTGTTATTCGTAGAAGTGTTTTATGCAATTTTTTAATTAAGTCATTAAAATTGTTAATTTGTACTTTTCGCTTACATATTTTAGATAGGTGGCAAAAGCTAAAAAAACTTTTTATGCAAATCGATTGCACAACTACTACATTTATAATAACGAAGCTATTCGAAACGCAATAATATAATATAAAAAATTATTTAAATTATATAATAATGGCGTGATAATGCATTATGTTGTTGGTTTTATTAATCATTTAAATTTAATAATTCCTTAATCTGTACAAAACACATAATGGTTTAGTTTCAATGAGAATTTTTGTATAATACGATTGAACATTTTGTATATATATATTGGTAAATAAATTTAACATTAGTTTTGCATAATATTGCAACATTTTTCTGGTAAAAAAAATTTGTAATTCGATAAATTAATCACTTAGGAAATTGATAGTGTGTTTGAAAAAAAATACTATAAAGTAATTGTTCAAAAAACCCAACTCGGTAAACAGTAATTAGGATAATTAGAGGGTGGTTTTCTTATAATTATTACAATCTTATATGATTGTCTCCTCCATTGTCGTCAAAGAACACTGTTGAACGGCAATTAGAGGTTAGATAACTTGTTATAGCTTTACAGTATGCCATAGCCTCTTAAGTACTATTGCCAAAACCGTATTCAAACACTAGGGAATTTACATTACTTTCAGATGCATTTATTGCTTCCAAACCGGTTATCATTGCGCCACCGACATTTTCCTGTACCGTCGGCATTGCACCATGCCGGAAAGGAAGTAATAAAAAATACACACACATATATATATATATATATATATATATATATATATATATATATATATGAATTAATACTTGGCTATACTTACAAGGTAAACGTAGGTATAACGGGTTATCCAATAAACAACGGCGCGATGAAGCGAACACGTGAATTTCAAAAGTAAGTACGATTATAATATAAGTGAAAGACACGACGCACGAAGATCACTGATCGACAAAGACAGTTAAAGGACAGGGGTTCTAACTGAAAGCCACGAGGGGACTGATTAAAAAGGTTTAAGGCGGACGACCACAGCCAACGTAGACGTGGATTTTTTTAAATATAGCATTTGGCACGAGACGTTTTTACCAGTACCCGATCTTCTTTTGCTTACACAAACGCACGCTAGTTTACACACAAACCAGCTACAATATATACAGTCATGTATTGTAATAAATTCAACTTTCCAAAACAAGATTAAACGTTAAAAAAAAAAAAATATTTATAGTTATATGTTCTGTACACACATTAACCGTTGTTTTTTTTTTGCGACGAGTACTTGGAATAATATTATTAAAATTAATTTTATTCAATATATTCTGCGCTCCGTTTGTGTTATTGTGATGAACTCTCCTCAACCCCTCTCCTCGTTAAATGTGAAGGGGTAACAACACAAACACTCCCCTTCTTCAAACCGGATGTCTTGAAACACTATTTCACGTGATAAGGGAACTGTCGAGATTTGTCCTCATACACTCGGTTCACATTGATTTAGTCGGTGTCGTTTAACGCGATCTTCAATTATTTTTTATACGATTATCTCTGTTCACTATAATATAATATTATCATAATCCTATGAAATACTATTTTTCAGCTGTTGTTTGTATAAGGACAACTTATTTTAATAGAATTTAATAGGATAAACTTAAATTTTAAATCTGTTTGTTTCTTGCAAGTCTTAATTTTTTTTTTTACTATTTAGATACATTTAGACGTTGACAATATTGAGCACACATTTACATTCTATTTTCAGTTTTTTTTCTTAGAATATTTTCAACATTTTGAGTAAAGTAAATTTGTAGATATATAAATACCTAGAGAAAATATAATATGACAAAATTAAATCATAAGCAAATACAAACATATTTTATTTATGTGATGTGTGTAGGTATATGTGTTATATGAAATAAACCAATTAGTTTTCCATGTGATATAACGGACGGGCTAGATATAAACTGTTTTCAGATTTGAATCCAACACATCAGTCTATTAAAATCAAGTTTAACTTAAGAACTTAAGAAAACAAGATAGTCGCAGTACTATGTTTTAAAGTTGTAGGGTCACTTTTGGTGCTTCATTTTTAATCAAATTTCATTACCTCGTACATTTGTTTACTTTAAATCATTTTTATTTAAATATTAAATAATAATTCGTTAAAATTAAAATTAAAAACAAATAATTTTTATATTAAATTTGTATTTGGTTTGTATTTTATAAAACGGCATTCTGGTTATGCAATTGTGATGCACTGCTGTCGGTGATCAGTTTGTAGTACATAGTATTTTGTACTATTAAATCGATTCAGAATATTTTCTAAATTGTTGTAGATTCATCCACAAATAGCAAACAAGAATTTTAATTAAGGCATAGTGTAATTTTCTCCATTTTTTTGTTTTTACTAAATAATAAAAAAATACTTAAACTAAAACTTTGTAAAAAATAGTGTTTTCACAAACACAAAACTATGATTAGGTAAACAGGTGAAAAAAAGAAAAAGTTTAAAACTCTTCTTTAGAGGAAAGGATTTGTGATATTTTTTGTTTTTTTGTAAATTGGCATCGTTAGTAGTTAGTACTATATACAAAAATATCCCACACAAGTAAGGATTGCAAGGAAGTAATTAGGATATTTGCAAAAAAAGCAGTTGCATACCGCAATTTTAGATGGAAAAGTATGTACCTTTTTTGGGTGTGTTTTTCACTTTTAAAGAGAAAGAGGTGAACTTTTTAAACATTATTTAAAAATAAATTTGTATAAAGGAATTTATTAAATTGTTTTTAATGTGCCTAAACAATTAATAGTCATAAAATTTATTAAAACCCGTTTAAAAGGCATTGGTGTTATATTTGTTTTTCATAAAAAAATATATTTACAGTTTTGAAAAGAGCTTTCAGCAGACTGTTTTAGATCTTAAAATATTTGCAAATAAAAATGGAGTATTATTTAACAATTAAAATATAATACGTTCTTAATCCAATTAATTTTATTTATTCGATTTGAACGATTATATAAATATTGATAGTACCTTCATTTAATATTATTTTTTGTTATTTAAATAAAGTCAATCCAAACCTATAAAATTCCCTGCCTTTTATTTTTTTAGGTACAATTTAAGTCTTTTGATTGCTCTTTGTGTGATTTCATAGAATTAAATACAATTACTTCCCTATAAACTTTTTTAACATTTTGTATTCAATATACTTTACACAGGAGTAACGCAAAAGATATTGCGTTTATTTAGATAGCTCCATAATTATCCGAAAAAAATATTTGTTACTTTCTTGATCTAATTTGAATTTGATAAACAGGTTTAATTTAGTTAATGTTAGCCTATACAGAGTGATCATTTAAACGTAACACTTTTTTTCTCTTAAAATATAACAGTGGTAACCCGACGCAATGAATTATGTTGAGATAACAACGGCTACTGTTTTTTTGGACAACCTGAAATATGAGGAAATGTAATAGCTATACAAAGTCAATCGGATTGATGAAAATTAAAAATTCAAACGCTGAAATATTTTTAAAATTTGTTTACACATATTTATGGATTAAAAACATATGTATTTAAAATTATTATTGAAATCTTTAAAACAAAAATGTATTTATTTTATGAGCTGATGTTCCCTTACGTGATATTCAAACTTCAAACTACTTTAAATATGGTTTCAATACACAAATTGAATCAATACCTCACTAATGTAATAAAGTTATCTCACTTAGATTTGTTTTAATATTAATAGTCTACCATCACTAAAATATCTTAATTTAATCTAGATTTATAATTGATATTAGTAGATATGTTTATCTTATATTGTCTTTTTCGTGATTTACATTTAATCTGTTAACGTTAAAATATATAGTTAAACTGTTATTTAATTGTCATTTTAATCATCTATATTGTATGTTATTTAATCACACTGTATATTGTACTTGTGCCTTCGTGGCGTTAATTATAAAATAAATGAGTTATTATCTAATTTTATTTCAATTTTTATTTTTGTTAAATCCTGCTTTATGATTTACCTATTCCAAATAACATGTGTGTATCTCATACCTTTTGTTCAAAATTAACTCGGACAGACTCGAGCAGCTCCTCGGTGTTTCACCTTCACTTTCTGACCATTATGCACGTTTTGTTGATCATGTTTATACGGCGGAATAGTCATCATCAAATGCGCTACCCCAAGATAAACATTCAAGTTTGATACGTTTTATATCAGTCACATATTAACAGATGTGGTTTAAGAAAAAAAAAACATTTACACGCGTATAATCAATACGTTATTTTACACGGACACGAGCAATACTAAATAAATCCGCCAACTCTTTGCATATAAAGACTAATGTCCAAGACAGAAGAGTCGGTAGGTAGCGGGGAATCTTAACCTAAAAAAAAAAAAATAAAAAAGACATAATATTATACTTATAAAGGGATAAAATGTTTGTTTATAAGATAGACCGCAATAGGTCTCATGGCCGACTGTCGTTTGATACATATATATATATACGACAGATATTATAAACAAATAATAATATACTTTTGCCAAAATCGTCAATAACCGACATCGCATTGTTTTTTTTTTATACTAAAAACAAAAATTATATTTTCTCATGGTCGTTCGTCGCCAGATATGCTACAAAAATAATTTGTAAACCTCACCTACCTACTTTTATAAATTAAAAATATATTATTTGTGTATTATCTTATGGGAATTATAATATTATTTACCGACAATGAATTGTCAATTTGTTAAATGGGCCTAAGAATTCCAGTGACTTTGAGTTCCTCTGAACTAATAATTATTGTCACAACACAACACCGTAGATTAAGGAATAATAATTATAATTTTATTTCGATAAACGTATAGTAAAGCAGCATTACATAAGCACGAGTAATAATATTAAGATAATAAATAATAATTGTATCATCGAATGACTGAATATTTAGATTATACAGAGAAAAAAAACGAATTACTAACTCATTGACTAATGGAAATTTTTAATACATTATTATCGTTAAGATTAAAAAATTGGTATCTACTACAAATCATTATACTTGTACCTATGTTAATTTATATTAACATTAAAAACTATATAAAAAAGAAGAATATCGAACAGTAAATGTTTCTACAATTTACGATTTAAGTCATTTGACAAATACATAATTACTTATTAATATGCGCGTACTTATATAATTTATAATAATAATAATAATAATATTATTATTTTCAATGATGCATCCATGTCTACAACTTATTAGTTAAACTAGCCAAATTTAATAATAATAATATCATTATAAAAAACACACAATATTATGTAACTAGTGTTTCAAATACATATTTTAAAACTGTTTTATACGTATTATTTCATATCGCAATATGTAATATAAATATCTAATAGTATATTCCAATAAAAGATAATTGAAGATAAATGTTTTTTTATATTCTTTGCATAGAGCATGTAAAACGCGTATTTGCAAGTTAAACAAATCTAATTTAATTTTAAAATGTAAGTATAAGTTGGCACTATAAATTGTTTTTTAATAATATGTTTACCATATCCGCGATATAAATAAAAAAGTATAAATAATGTTAAATTTGTAAAAAAAAAAATTATGTTGAGTGTTTGAGCAATAATTTTAGTTGAAAAAGTACGAACAAATTCAAAATAAAATCAGAGAAATGTGAAATCAATCAATTTGTCGAAAATTCATTAATGTTATAACTGTAACTAATAATATATAATATCAGTCTAGCCACATGCAAGTCACTATGGTTGTGTATTGTTTACTAATTAAGTTAAAAAAACAAATATAGTATTTTATAAAAAAAAAAATATATATATATACATACAACATAAAGTAAAAACGCAAAAAAAAAACAATAATGACACAAATCTGAAGATAAAACATAATATCAAACTGTTTATACGAATAATAATAATATAATAATAATAATTATAACTTATAATAATAATATATAGATAATAGATATACAAAAGACGATATTAAACTACATGTTTACAATAATTATTGAAACGTTCTCAGATTAGGATATTCTCTCAAAAAAAAAACGTCGACTGCCCCATTTGTACATCTTGCATGTGCTCAAAATAAACAAAAACTTAAGTATGAAAAAAATTAAACCGATTAATTAAATGCAAACAATTCTAAGAATGTATTTTAAGTATGAAAAAAAATCCAGAAATCCTGTTATCAATGTTTGATCATTTCTAAATTGAGTACAATTTGTAAGCAAAACGACCCAAATAGATAGGTAAACTATATTTTGTGTAGACAGAAATTTTAGTTTTTCAAGCATTTGCGAGACTTAACCATTGGACAAGATAGTTTGTTTTTGAAAATATCAACCGTTTCACTTCCAATTTACAGTATTATTACATTGGATACTAGCGCCATTTGAATAAAGAACAAAACATAGTTAGTTATTTTACCGAGTAGGCACAGTTATCAGTTAAAAAAGCACACTCCATAAAGATTATAGCTGTATTTAATATATTCTACGACTTAGTTTTGAATAATAATAGTTAAGATTTGTATATCTTTTCGAAATTTCTAATCAAAATGTTTAATAATAATGTATCATTACTATGACAGATTATAAAGTATATTAATATTTTTAATATGTAATAAAAAAATGTCTTTTTAAATACCGAACAAGAGTATAATAATAATATATAATGACTTAATCAAAGTAATTTCCGAATAAACGATATTTGTTTGTATAGTTAATTTTAAATCACAATAAGACGTATAAAAGTGGAATTATTATTAAAGATCATATTATATGATATTGAGTGAATACGACATTAGACGAACCACTTTATCGTTACTCTAACATAACACAATACGTTTTTTTATTTTCTTTAACTATTAAAAGCTGCAGTTAATGAGCAAATCAAATAATAAACGTATTAAATATTTTATGTTGAAATTTAAACAAACAAACAAACATAACTGACTTTTTTGTACTGACATTAAAGGAACATACTTTTATTTTTTTTTAAAACCATCTATGTGAGATTTTTAAACAGTGTTTGCTAGAACCGAATGGTAATTTATAGAGTTGAGCTAAAATTAACATAATATAATATAATCCTAACATTCACAGATCATAGTAACATTTTAAATTTTAATAGGTTAATTGAAGTGTAAGAAATAATGACACAACACTTGAGGGTTTTATAATACCTAAATTATTAGAAAAACACATTAGGGCCACATTATTACGATATTAGAATAAGAATAGTAATAAATCATTATTATTATAATATATAAAATACTATTTCTATTCTTATCGTTATTTTATTACCTAATTATATTTTAGTTACTTAAATAAGTGCGTAGTAATATGTTTTTTTTTAATGTATCGTTTAGTGCATTAGGTATATGAGTATGTTTAGTTATGGAAGAGGTTCACAATAATATTATAGTATAGATAAGGTTTATATTCTAACGTTCTATTTATATATGTTGGCTGATTGGCTGACTAGAGGTTACACTGCCACAGTATCGTAGGTTGTGAGCCCTCCGCTTTGGAAGCGTTGTTGTCCTGCTGGGGCTTCGTTTCTAAAAAAAATGATCAAACAGTTTTTTAATAATCATGTAAAGTCATGTAACTAATAGGCGAGTGCTGATTTTAAGACAGCGTTAATGAGTTACATAAAATGTTTTCTTATTTTTTACAAAACGCTCAATTTTTTCCTCAAATACCTGAGAGTATTTTATTTAAAAAAATATTTTAAAACAATAAGATTGTGTTATTTTAGGAAAACTGCCCCTCTGCATTTAAATTGACATCTTTTATCAAATATTAGTAATGTTGACTGTGATGATGAAATTAGTTAAAAACATATGTAATTTTTTTTTAAAAAATGTTAAAATAAAAAAAAACAATCATAGATTAGTATATACATTTTCTTTTTCCTAGTAAATTTAACAATATCGGTTTTAAAAATTGTTTTTTTAAAAAATTGTCTATGGCAATAGTTACATTTAAATCGATAAAATCTTGAACATTTAAATAGAAACATGACACAACAATGTGTTTTTCCATAATAACTTATCTATAGTTTTTATCATCAACCCCCCATTTTATTCCACAATATAGTTATATTAATACAATTTAACATTTACTTAACTACATACTACGTAAAATTCACACCAAACTAAAAATATTACTACCTGAACTACATCATAATACTTTCAAAACACATGTCATAATAATTGTTACAATATATTCAACTAGTTTTTTTTAATCAATAACAGTTGATACTTACGGTTTCCTTTACAACGAAAAATGCATTAAACACACATCAATAATATTATAAACAAAGAACAATTAATTTTAAAAAAATAAGGAAAGAAACAAGTATTATGATTTATTTAAATTTACCAGAAGTTAAGCTAAAACCTAATCCTACGACCAAAATCTTGTCAAGTTTTGTCACGAGATCAAATATTATGTTTTCTTTTTTTTTTCCTAGCAATTTATTCCTAAAATAATATACTTAAAAGTTGACTTGTTTATTTGCAAATTTTGTTTAGGTAAGTAAAAATTGCAAATAGCGAGACCTATGTTCCCTTTTTTTAATTTTGATATAGTAAGTTGTTTAATAAACCCGACATAAAAATAGCATTGAAGGTTTAATGAATTTATTGGTTCTCAAACATCATTTAGTGGTTCCTTGATCGGTGAATGAACCGTTAAATTTATCAAAGTTTTGCGGCAACCCGGTATTAAGATAATATTTGTATTGTATTTTTTTAAGTGCTATTTAAACCGACCCGTTCTAAAAAATATTGAGCACCTACGTCAGAAGTAGGTGATATACCTATATACTAACCTTTCTATGAGTTTCCGTAGTTCTTCTGTGGTCATAGTATCCTTAGGGTTCCCTTTAGATTGAACTGAAAATCAAAACCAACGAGATATGTTCATATACACGTCTTATGATTATGCACATAAAATGGCTGCGAAAGCGATTAAGTTGGTTTCGAAGCGAGCGACATTTTTTTTTAGGTATTATAAGCGAAGGTTGCTTGCTGCAGCAGTCGGTTTTGTGAATAACAATATAGTATTTTTTGTAGTTATTTACAAAAAATTATGAAATTAATGAAATTAATTAAAGTCAATGAAATTAATGGTTTTCGATATTATTATGCGTATGAAACAATATTAACGAATTACACAGTTTGGTGTTCTTAGTGTACAAAACAGTGAAATGATTTTCAATGTAACTTACAATAATTAAAAAAAGTGTTACATAAATATTACGTTATTTTTTCTCCAACAGTACTTACCTTTCTTTTAAACACGTTTAATATAATTAATGACGTTGAACATAATATAGTATTCCATGCAATACAACATTAAGACATCTATACGACCGTTAATTCATGCACAAAGTACTAAACCAAAAGCCACTACAGGTTAGAGCATGATCAATACAACAGCTATTGTCTAGAACATGGGAAAATGACTGGGACGAGCATTTTAGCAATACAGATAATTACTTAAACGTTGATCACGCCATTTGTAATTCTTTATATTGAAATAAGTGAATAAAAAAAGTATTCAAAGACGGTTTAATATATTTCATATTACAAATAATAATTATTAGGATTGTCAGATTTTGAGCAACATGCTTACCTATTATAGAAAACTTTTTACACGTTATATAATATAACCGTTAAAACGTTTATGTAATTAACTGTATTAGATTCAATGTTTAATCCTAAACCAAACATCGAAGTTAAAATGCATTACTTAAGTAAGATTTAATAATTTAATACTTTAAAAGTCTGTTTTGAATTGGAATTTCTCAATTTGTTTTCTAGTCATTAGTTAATGATTTTCACGGTAAAACTATATAGGCTCATAATGACTTTATAAATAACTTTTTTTCTGAAATAAAAATACATTCCATGAATATTTAAAGGGAAGTCCGTTCTTTTTTCAAGAATAATACTATTTGTAAAAAATATATACAAACATATTTTGTATTGAATGCGTAAAATTGATTTCTCCAGTTTTTTTTTTATTGTATGTCAAGATTATTATTTTACACCAATAAAATCTATAAGATTTCACCGTGAATATATGGATTTATGTATGTTAACAACGTGTTAAGCTTAGACCAGGAAAAAATATGTAAGTTGATAGACCATTTTACAAATAAATATGTTTACCTTCTATACTAAGATAGCTCTTGCATTGGGATGTGGCCGCAAACGTTTGCCTAATAGTTTAAATTTTAAAAACGTTTATAAATAGTAGAAATGAAGGAGTGTAGAGAGTTTGGCAAAATATAATACATAAAAAATATAAGTATCTTAATGCTAGAAAAATTATACTACAAGACGTGAATCATTCTCAACAAGTTTCTCGCAAACTCAGTGATCACACAAGATACTGTTGCTAAATATAGAAGCTTTTGTTGAAACAAAAATGGTGCTATTTTAATTTTAATGCACAATATAACATACGACTTACCGCCGTATTCTTGCACTGTTGGTTCTTGGTGTTGATCACACTCAGCTTCTGATATCTGATTGCTATCTTTAGAGTCATTGGCTTCATTGCTTGTGCTGCTTACGTTTGGATCGTGATTACGCGGAGGTGGTGGAGGCGGTTCTGGACTTCCTATTTTGTAAAACCGAAATAGTAAATAAGAAACAGTACAAATCGCTTAAAACCATAAAGTCAAGACAACATGTTCTAAAAAAGATTACAAATCCAATGGCGTTTATTGGTTTCAAAAGATTGTAGTTATTGTTTTATTGGAAAAAAAAAAATGAAAGGACAGAATTATTCCAGTAAATATACCAATGCTATGACGACCCATTGAATTGCGACTTTCGTATTGTTCATAAGGAGCTCCATACTGTCCATATTGACTGCCATATTCATCGCCAATATTAGCTGGATCGTCGTACTCTGGGGAAAACATGGAATTAGCTCCTCCTCCTCCTACACGTGAATAACGTCCATTTCGGGGCTAAAAAAATGTATTTGTAGTTATTGACAAAAAATAAATACAACATTATTCAATTATATATTGTTTTTTATTAGTTAAATAATTATGAAGCTAACGTTAACTCAACGAGCCGACTCAACAAGGTTATTCGTTTAGTTCATTTAGCATGTCATACTGCACACTTTACATTTATATAAAATTCACTAGTGTGCTAGAAAATTATCATTGTATTTTAACATTGATTACCATTGTCTGCGTTCCTGGGCACTGATGCATCATTCCATTGCTAGCCATAGTTCCGCCGGGTCCCATTGTTCCACAATGACCATTGGGATGCGGGAAAGTTTGGAAAGGCATTTTAGACGGATCCATCTCTTCGCGGAATCCAAGCAAATGGAATGTAGCGTACGGACATATGTCCTCTCCGTCGATTCCTGTGAAAACATTGCACTTAAATCAATATCATATTGTTTTAAAGTCGAATAATTGCCAGCAAAAACCAAAGCTAATCGCGACAGCGAAAGAAGAACTCATTTATTTACTTATCCACCATTTAAATTGAAAAGTTGTAAGCTCAATATAATGTAACTGATTTAACGTTTACACGTTAAAAACTACTCTAAAAAACTCGATTGAATACATAATATTACTTATGTCTCATATGTATTTAAATATATAATGAATGTAATAAATTGATTTCACAAGTTTGTACCACTCATAATATACAATAATTACAACTTTATCAACTTCTTAACATACTTAAAAAAATAATCGTCCAATATATTGCTAATACCGGTTCACGCCCATAGGGCATCGGGATAAACTTTAAACAATTTTTTGTGTAAGAATAACATATAATAATTGCTATCTAACTACCCATTTCGTAAATACGTCCAACTCATAATATGAATTAAAGCATTTAAAAAGCAGAATTATCAAGAAAAAAAAATAGAAAAAGTACGCCAAAGTGTGAAAAATATAAACGAGAACGCATTTAAAAAATAAAAATAAGACCTTAATTTTTTTTTATGAGTTAAATAATTATAAATAAAGATGAACAATAATTAAGTTGATTTCCTAGCTTAAAATTTGTGAGGAACTATAATTCTTATCAGCTAAACCCTTAACAAATAGTCATAACAACACATAAACGTTGAATATTGAACATTAAATGAGCACCAATAAACGGTTTTAGGTTGATTAAATAAGTACATATATATATATATATTTCTATAACGTATACATTTTTAAGGTCAAGTGAGGTATTTCTAAGCAAATGGGTTAAAAGATTTTTTTTTTATAAATTTGGTTGTTATAAAAAAAAAACAACATTTATAATTTTAACTGAGATCTCCAAATCCTAAGACATGATGTTAACGTATTATATTATTACACAATACTTTTAGTTCTTTAAAAAAAAAGTTAGATTTCAATTAGCCCCGTTTGTTTACAATATTAATTATTAAATAATTATAACAACATTGCTACAACCATATTTATATTTTGAATTTTATTTGTTTACACGATACTCTTTAAAATCTTAAATCATTACAAAATGTACTTTAATTGGTAACGATTTTTAGACTAATTACATGACATTTGTTGAATAATGAAATTCGACAAATCCGTATCACACGTAAGATTTCTTTTAGGAGCACGGTGCGTATAGTGTATATATAAATGTATATAATTTTCCGATTTAAAATTATGGGCGCAAACATATTAGCATTGAGTACAATATTTATAATATACTCAATGGTATTGGATACCTCAACATATTGGTGATTTATAAGGCTTGTAAGGCTTACAGTTTGTACGTTTGTTAATGGAACTCTCACTCTGCTGTTGTTAATAATAAGCTGCCGTGCAAAATTTCATCATCCTTTTTATCAACTTTTTTTTTTACCTCGACACCTGGTATACATTGTCTCGTCGGAACCCGGGCAAGGGGGCAGGTGCCCCCTACACCTAGGGTTACTACCGTTAAGTTCTTCGTACATATGTCGGGCTCTAGGGTTCCATGTGCCGTGACCGTTGTAAGGGCCGGGAAAACCTGATTTGATTAATACGACGAAAACAAAAATAAAACTATTAAATGCAAAATAAAAAAATCGATTCTGTTATAAAAAAAAAATATATATGAAAAAACAAAGCAAAAATAATATAAACCGAGTATGATATGGGGTTAAATATTATATAGAGTAATAGACGACCGAACAAAATGAATATACCTCTCTTGATCCGGTCGCAAGTGTTGTAGTTTGAGCCGGGAACCGGGGGAAGTTTTCGATTGGGCGGTGCAATGTAACCGAGTTCGTCGTTGAAGTCTGTGTGTCTTTTATCCAGAGTATTGCCTCCCATTATCATCGACTGGTTGTACACCGTCATATCGTCTAATTGCATCAATATAATATTGTCGGTATAAAATATTATTAATTAATAGTTAAAAAGGTTCAAACAAAATACAGTGTTTAACATAGTTAAAATATAGTTTCGACGAGCTGTCAGCTGTACCCTAAGACGACTGCTATTAACAGCTATTTGTACCTCGTAATCGGGTTTGTCCATTTTCGTGCACTCTACGAGACCAAGCGAAACAAACCACGATAATACCAACGATAATAACGACAATGGTCGCAGTTGTGGGTACGACCACGTTCAAATCGATCCATTTCGGTATCCACGGGAAGTAAGTATAGATAGAAGTGATGTCTTGAGCGGGGGGAGCGATAGTACCTTTAGAACACACAGAAAAAAATACAAATACAAACTAACCTTTTATTTCCACTCCTCGTTTTTTCAAATAGCACAAGAAAATTATGGCCACGATAATGACTAACAAGGCCGACGTTACTGGTACGACCAAGTTAAGATTGGCCAGTATGATACGTATAGCAGTTTCGGTGGCCGAACCAAAACTGTTATTATGCACCTCCCTGGCAGGAGCTATAGTACCTGGAACACGGAATGCATTTAAAATTATTACTCTGTGAAGAAACTTGTTCCAAGTACTACATGAGCTCCGCCTAGCAGATTAGAAATCGCAAAAAAATCACTAAGACCTCCTCCTTACCTCCGCTCAATGTGAGAGAAGCGAATTCGTATTCGGCTACTGAAAATCCAGCGTTGTTATGAGCCGTCACTCTCAAATGATACCAAGTGGCTGGATCCAAATCGAGCACTACAAAGTTACCGCCAGGTCTTACATTGTTGGACACCTGAGTCCACTCGGGCTGCATCCTAAAACAAAACCGCGCCACGGTATATTTTACTTTTTCCAAATAGTTATACGCCGGCTGTGTTAGAAATTAATAAAATATGTAAAATTGTTTAAAAAAAAAAATTTACTTTTTCTTATGTTCCACCACAAAGTACAGCATAGGGCAACCGCCGTCCAACCATGCGTTTAAATGAAGAGTGACACTGGTCGCGGATACTTCAATAAACTTGCTTGCTTCGGGTATTTTCGGTTTTGATCCGGTAGTTTTTGTAATGAGTATGTCCGACTCGTCACCCGTGCCGATTCTAATGAAAAATTAATCAAAAATTATACTTTTCTAACAATGTGGGTTTTGATAATATACAATCGTACAAGTTATAAGCGGTCACGGCTATTTGATAACGCGACCCACACCACAGATTTTCCAACGTGAATTTGTCCGCTTTTGCAGCCACTTGGGCCGTTTGCCAATCTCCGAATTCAGGTTTGTACTTGATTGTATATCCATGAACAGGTTCCTTGTCGGTTTCATAAGGTTTCAGATTTAACGTGATCGTATTCGAAGTAGTTGCACCGACCGTGACTTGTGGCTTATGCGGAGGAGCTAAAATATAACATTGTAAGAAAAAAACGAATTATCATAAAAAAATTTAAAGAAAAAAATATTTAAAAAAAAGAGAGGCAATCCACATACCCAATACGACGATTTTATGAGTGATTTTATCTTTTCCAAATGAGTTTTCCACAAAGCACGAGTACTCTCCCGCGTCTTGTCTCGTTACTGATCTTATCAACAGCGAACCTTCGGGCAATTGGCGGATACGATCGTTGCTCTCAAGAGATGCTCCTTTGACTTTCCATGTGATTTCCGGGGCTGGTACACCAACAGTCAAACAAGGTAGTTTCACGTCTTCGCGGTATGTAGCAGTGAACGTATCATCGAACGATGCAATCATGGCGGGAACTAGAAAAAAAAAACAACAATTAATCTACAAAAATTCTAAACCGACCTAAACGTTAAAATTATGAAAGGCAATTACCTCGAGTACTGGGGGCTATGATGAGCGATTTTGTTGGCTGACCTTCGCCAATATTGGTCGACGCAGTCACCCAAAACTCATACGGATCTTGTTTAATTAATCCAGATGCCTCAAAACTCATTTGACTGGCCGCTACTTTATGCACCATTGGCGCTTCTTTCTAGAATATTAAATATATATTTTCATATTAAACATGTAAATTGGCTTTGACTGTAAAATTTAACCATATAAAATGAAGATTACAAATGTTTTTGACAGGAAATTATGAATGGTTAAATATACAAGTAAAATTAAGCAAACATACATCTTTGTTTTCCCCATTCCGTTTAATGTAAACTGTGTATTGGTTTATTTCTCCATTGGGCTCGGCCGGTGGTTTCCAGCTGACTAAAACCGATTCGGTCGACATTACCAAAGCTTTTATGGCTGATGGTGACTCAGGAACTATGATCAAATAAAAAAAAATTATTAATTTTGTATTACAACAAAATTTTCTCATAGAACACATACCATCTTGTTCGGTTTGGCAATAAATCCTAGGTGCGCGAACTCCATCTCCTCCTGCAGTGAAAGCTAATACTTCCATACTGTAATTGGTGAACTTCTTCAAGCCGTGTAAAATGGTTTCGCTGGAGACGGTAATCTTTGTATCTTTTGTGGCTTCATCTAAAAATAACAAATGTATAGTAAACTCTAAAATAATAGAGGTGTATAAAATAAAAATTAGCTTACTAAACCAAGAGTCGCTTGGGCCGTATATAACTTTGTATCCCTTAATGATTCCATTCGCTGTGTTTAAAGGAGGAGACACCCAAGAGATCCTAATAGTCTGCGAAGTCAATGTCGTACATGTGGTGTCGTGTGGAGCTTGTTCGGGTACGCCCTCAGAAGTATATTGTTTAACTTCCTCTGACATTGGTCCAGCGCCCAATTTATTGAACGCTTGTACAACAATAGTGTATTGGGTGTAAGTCCTAAACAAAAATGTTACTCAATAAGTGGAAAATATTGAATAGTAAAGAATAAAATAATACACTTTAGCTTACATGCTAAGTATGTAAACACCAAGTGTTGCTTAAGTTTTTTCTAGTATTTTTTAAAAATGTTTTACAGCAAATTAGTATATATTAGCATTGACCAGCATATACCTTGCTGTAGTCAAATACTTTAAATAAGTGACCTACTTGAGGTTCAATATTTCCAAAAAGTGTTCTTTTCCTTCTTCTTTGTTGAACTCTACTGTTTCGAACACGAACTTGTTTTCAGTTAATGAAGACTGCTTGTATCCAACGTAATATCCTTGTATTTCACCATTCCATTCACTGCGTTCAGGAGCTTTCCACATAACCTTTAGTGTATTTTCATCAACCGGTTCTACACGAATGCTGGTGGGTTTTCCGCTCGGCGCTGAAGATACATTAGTTACAGAGGTTTATTTAAATTTAAACAAAATTATAAAACATTTTTTCGTTTTATTTACCTTCTTCCGATGTGATTATGGTTACCGGGTCAGAAGGTTTTGATACTCCTACTCCATTTTCGGCGACAATTCTAAAATGGTACGTTGTTGCTGGATGAAGATTTACAACGCTCATTTCCGTTTTGTCTCCGGTGGCTTCCATTTTCTCGACATTAGATTCCCATGATCCTGTTAGAATTAAAAAAAAAAAATTAAATAAACAAGCAAAATAAAAAAAATTACCTTATATTATGTTTACCTTTGAGTAATTTATATTCAATGATGTAACGAGTGATTGGTGAATTTCCATCATATGGCGCCAACCACGACAGCTGTACAGTTCGACCAGACTTGTCCAACACCTTCAAACCAAACGGTATCTCCGGCACCTCTGAAACGTCAATGCAATTGAATATTACCAAACAAATTATTAATTAATTTAGCTAACCACTACTAACCTTGAACGATAAGTTGTACGCTAGAATCGTCACTTCCAAATGAATTTGTCGCCACACAAGTGAACATGGCGGTGTCGATCCTATCGGTTATTTTAATGCTCAAATCAGATTTAACTCCATCGGTCAATATTTCTTCTCGAATGGTGTATCTAAAAACATTTATATTTGAATAGTATTTAGTATCAGATAAAATGAAACTTATATTTTCTGTTTAATTTATCAATTTTATGGGTGTACGGTACCTCTCTTCTTCCTTTGTGTCTAGCCTCTTGTTGTTCATATTCCACACTATTCCAATGGGTTTTTCACCTTTAGCCATACATTCCAAAACAGCCGGCTGTCCTTTTTCAGATGTCTGATTCCTCGCCTTAATTTCGAAATGGGGTGGAGCTGAAATACAACGATAGGTATAAATAACACATGAAAAATTTAACTTAATTTATTTGTTTTTTTTTCGAATTCACTAACCTTGTACGCTAATTGTTATTACAGCCGACAGTCCAGAACCAATACCGTTGACAGCTTCGCATAAGTAGTAACCTTCGTGATTTTTTTGAATATTGTGAATTGTAAGTGTACCCTCTTCGACTTTAATGTCATCATTTCCTGGCTTCAAATCTTTGATATCTTTGTAGTCTCCGGGAGAATTTCCTAATGTAAATCTATTTTGTTAAATATGCACTTAAAATATGCTTTAAGCATATAACTTTTATAACGAACCTATAGCTTTTTTCCATGTCACTTGTGGTTTAGGGAAACCATCAGCTTTACATTCAATTTTAGCATCACCTCCTTGTGCAAAAGCTTTATCAGTAGGTTCAAGTATCCATCTAGGAGGAACTGTTTCAAAACAAAATTAAAAATATTAAACTATCATAGAATTAAAAACAAACTCTAAATTATAATATCAGCAACAGTTCAAATAAAAAGTTTTAAATTAAATATGTAAAAAGACGAATAATAAAATCACTTTGTATAAAATTTTACATGCTAAAATGTTTAAATGATTATTAAATATTACAAACTACAAATTATTGAACTCTTGCTGAAATTATGTTATGTTTTATAAAATTTGAAGAGAAGAGATGAATAGAAGTTTTAAATATGTTAAGACTAATTAATTATTGTATAGAAATAAATTTTTTCATTGTATATTTGAATATATAATGTAATTGGACTTAGGTCCGTATGAAATATAAAAAAAAAAGAAAGAAACCTATACTACCAATATCGAGCATTTATTGTTTTACGAACAATGTAAATTGTATGTGTTTTGAAAGAAAATTTTAAAATGTTTTAACTCCATAATATCATCTTTTCTCTACAGACGTATCGGTAGATAAGCGCAAAAATGTTTATTAGTGATTTTAAAACTCAATAAGATTATTTTATGTGTTTTAACACTACTACTTGATACTTGCTGTGTAGTAGGTTGAAAAAAAAATGCTTAATGTTTACCATTTCAAAAATATTATTTTAAAATCACCATACAAACTTGATTTGAAAGTCTGCAGTGCATATAAAAAGCATGCGGTAAAAATGCAATTAAATAAGAAATAGTTAAAAACTAAGCAAAAATACAACGAAATAAAAATGAAAGTGAAGAATTGAAATAAAATGTTGTTAAAAAGTAAATTAAAAAATGTTTAATTTCATGCATTAAATAATTATGTAAGTATAGATAAAAAAAACTAAAATGGTGCGTATAAAGTTGACGTGCATGAACAACAAAGCAAATTAAAAAAAAAGCAACAGAAAGGAATGGTTGGACAGGACAGATACGGGAATCAGTTCAGAAAAAAAAATGATTAGTCGATTTGTAAGTACAAAGTAAATTTGATGTTTATCGATCAAAAATTGCCGATTTTAGACAAAATATATTAAAAGAATTCCGAAAGAAATTCGAATCGACGAGATTAAAAATTTACTAGAATTATACTTTTTTTTTTTTTAATAATAAACAAGCGAATGACGTTTTAAAACTAATTGTTAACAAAAAAGAAAAACCTAAACGAAACAAATTGATTATAATAATTTTACCCATGACTTTTATGGAAGTTAACAGAGAAGCCGATCCGGCTTCGTTTTGAACTAAACAACTATAATTTCCGGCATCTTCCAGCGAGACCCTAGCCAAAGAAAACAACGAAGACATTTCGTCCAATTGTTGAATTTTGAAATTTTTCTTGTTAGTGTTCATCAACCGACCGTCTTTGGTCCACGTGAAACGCAATGGTAAATCTCCCGACGTTGCGGAACAGAAAAATTTCGTCGATCCCCCTTCGTTTAGCGTGTTATCGGTTACAGAAAACGGCTCAACTTTCGGTTTGACTGTAACACAGATATTGGCTGGTCTATTCAAAATGAGTTAAAATAAAAACATAATTTATCCGTTAGAGTCGCCTGGTACACGGGTAGGTACACCCGATGACCAAAACCCGTCGACCAATTCTCGGTTGGAGGCGTATGTGTGTTTTAAATGTACAATAATATTATGTTGTGTGTATTATGATATGTGACTCTTTATTTTTTTTTTTTTTAAACATCTAAAGCCTATAATAGTTGTCGGTAACGTACTTTGTATAGGACAAGCAATGTAATTTGTATGAAAATAAAAATTCGGAATGACTACAAGCGAAAAAAAAACGATGGCCAGGGGTAAAATAGTTTTTTTACCATGGACGTGTAACGTGGCTGTGTAGTTAGCTCGCCCGGCTCGGTTGCTGGCAACACAAGTATAGTTGCCGGCGTGATTAGAAGAAGCCGATTCAATGTAAAGCATAGACACTTTACTGCCCATTTTATTTATGGAAACTCCGCCTCTAAGCGGCATGGTTTCGGCCTCGTGATACGTCCAAAACAAGTTTAGTGGTAAATCGCCTTCGGAAACTAAACACGTTATTTGTGCAGACTGTCCGTCATAAATGGGATCACTAAAACTGAACGGTTCGATTCGCGGGACGACTGAAACCAGAACACGGGTAGATACTCAAGAAAAATGTCTTACTTCGAAAACGGTTACCGCCGGTGGATAGAATAATAATTATGGAAATGGAAAATTAACAAACAAAAGCTAAATATTATGCTATACGTTTTACACATTTGGTGAAAACAAGCAGATGTTAAAAGCCCGTTTACACGGGTCATCAATAAGTTTACCGTGGACATTCAACGTTGCGGTGTACTTAGAACTCCCTGCCCTGTTCTTAACCACGCAAACATAATTTCCGGCGAAATAAGACGACGTGGTTTCAATGAAAAGCATGGACAGCTTATTGCCCATTTTGTTAACCGATATGCCATTGGGCAATGGCGATAGTAGGGACTTATCGGATTCGTGGAACCACCAAGAAATATTTAAAGGAGTATCACCTTCCGATACTAAACAGGTTATTTGGGCTGATTGGCCAGAATAGATGGGCTCGTCAAAACTGAACGGTACGATACGAGGAGGTACTAAAAAAAACCACAACAGTTACACAGATAACGCAGGTTTGATAGCATTGATTAAGGATGATAAATTATATGCAAAGGAACACAAAATATAATAGTGGGCTTTTTGCATTCATACAAATTTCGCACGTATGGTTTATGGTCATTCGTCCATGCTTTAAATAAAAATATAAATAAAAAAACAATCTTTGTTTTTTTTTGTCTTTGTACCATTGACATTTAAGCTAGCAGTGTGTGACGTATTTCCAACATGATTTCTTACAGTACACGTATAATTTCCCCGGTGAATAGAATTTGTGTAATCAATCGTTAAGAGACTAGTTTTTGTGCCAATCTTTATCACAGTTACTCCCAGGCCAAAAACATCTGGAGGCCCGTCGAATGTCCAAAATATGTCTAATGGCGAATCACCTTCCAAAACTGAACAAGTCGCCTGAGATGACTGTCCAGCGAATACTGGTGTGTCCCCAAATGAAAACGGTTTTATTTTCGGAATAACTGCACGTACAAAATATATGAACGGATAAAATAATAAATAACGCATGTATAAAAAAAAATAAAGGGATACCATACAGTTATCATTGATACTATTAACTATAACGCGGGTCACATGAGTGATGTATGTGTGTGCGTGTATGTGTGTACATAAATGATGGGAAACGATGGAAACCAAGTAAGTAAATAAGAAAGCCTAATGCAAATTAACCGAAGCTACACGATTCCACATCGGCTTGCGCTTGTATAGGAAGTTCCTATTTGTACACTTGAATAGTTACCGTTTATGTACAAAGAAGCGGTATGGGCTGACTTTCCAGCTTTATTTCTAGCCAAACACGAATAGTTTCCAACATTTCTTTCCGTCAGCGACTCCACAGTCAACGCGCTAACTCTTTGTCCCATTTTGGATACATAGACGTTTGCCAAGTCGCTTGTCGATCTACCGTTGTAGGTCCATGCAAACTCAATCGGAATATCACCAGAAGATATAGTACACTGTATCGATATTGTTTCGCCAGCCTCGGGAATATCGTCGCCGAACGAAAAAGGTGCCATTTTGGGCGGGACTTGAATAATAAATGTATTACATACAAAATTATACACTTATGTTGCACAATTATGCATAGAAATACATACAAATTAATAGTAAATTATATGAATTAGTTGGTATTAAATATACATTTAAGAAACTGTGTTCAATGACTATTTTCGCTTAATATTGATGTTTCCGTTTTTTTGTCTTTTATTCCTACTCGCTCTAATAACAAAGTACATTTTTCTTTTTACTCAATAAGTGTGTTTATGTTTTTATTTTAGCTCACTATTATGCAATCAATATAAAAAAATCTTTATAAGTTGATAAATAAGTTATTTTTAGTTAGTCGGATGTTTGTAGGCGATAACAGCCAAAATTGTAGAACCTACACTTTAAAACAACTTGCATTAAGTGTTTCTAAAAGCGTAAATTATACAATCTTAAACTAATATGGTGAAAATAATTATAGGCAAAACGAAAATATTACTTTATCGTACTTCAGCAAATTGATAAAGATCTGTTTTCGGTAAAAAATTTTCCGTATTAGCGGCAAGTATGTAACCACTTAAATATAAATACTATCATAACCAAAATGTTTTATGCCAACCTTAAGAAAACATTCGTCTTACAGGGCATTAACTTTGCTTTAAATTAAAAAGCAAATACATTTTACAAAAAACAAAATTAATTCGGGTAGGTACGTTTATTAACGCTTGAAAATCAAAAATTAGTGTTAACATTTTGCTGCAGCTTTATCAAAACTTTGTTATGAACGAAAACATAAAACTGCAAATAACAATGTGAAATCGGGTCGAGTTAGATAAAACGAGGTTTGCACGACGGTAACACGTGTTAATGACCACAGAACAATGATAATCACAAGCCAAAACAAAGTCAATGTACCATTCACATATATATAAGTCGAATAGCCATTTGCCCCAGCCGGATTTGACGCTATACAAGTGTACTTCCCAGTGTTCGTGGCCGATACACTGTTAATTGTGAGCACATTTGAGCTTGAACCGAGTTTTGTTGTCGTCAGACCCAATTCCGAAGATAAGTCATCGTTATTGAACAACCAGTAAAGTTCTATAGGTTTATCGCCTTTTGAAACATGACAATTCAGTTGTATACTATCGCCGGACCTCACCTTTTCGTCGACAGAAAACGGAACAATATGTGGTAGAACTATAATAATTATTGTACAACAGTTTCAGAATAGTTGTTTAGGAAAACAAAATAAACATAATCCAGCGAAATGTCAAATTCAACAACTTAAGAGTAAAAAAATAATTTTCTTATCAGCCGTTTTCTTAATAAAACAAATGCATTATAATATATTTCAATAGGTATGCCAAATTTTAATTAACATTATGTATATTAATTACTAAAGTATTTAATTAAATAAATATGACTAAAACCAACCATGTGAATTAACTGTAAAACATAATAATAGGTTAAACTATTATGTTTAAGTACACTTTCGAGGCTTTTACTTCAAGCCATTTCAATTTTGAATTAATTGACTGTAGGAAAATGTATATTTTGTATTAATGGATGTATAAATATTAGGAAAAAACTACCACCAATTTTGTATTGTTTTTGTTTGTGCTAAGTCAAAGAAGGGCATGCTTCTTAAATGTGAATGTAAGGTACCATTGACCAACAGTTGAGACGTATACGAATCGAAACCAGCTAAATTTTTAGCCATGCATGTATAGTTTCCTTGATTTGAGGGACCGACTGACGGAATCGACAAGAAATTTGTTGTATCGCCAAACATTTGAGTAGTAACACCCATATGGGATGAAAGTTGTTCACCGTGGAAATTCCATGTGATTGACATAGGCTTATCGCCTTTAGCCACTGAACATGACAGCTGAACCGATTCGCCGGCATTTACAGGACCGTCGCCAAAGGAAAATGGTAAAATCTTAGGTAAGACTAAACAAAATATTGGTAACATATGATTATTGTTTTGTTAAAAATAAATAGAAACCCCTGTTTTTTCTTAAACGTTTACTCATCCAAAATGTACGCTGAACTGTATGATAGTAGGTAAGTATAAAGACATATGGATACATCAATAATATAATTGTATTATAAAAAGCTGTGCTGCTGTTAGTAGTGGTGAGCATGTACATGATACCAATGCTGTATTTTATCATGCTGTTGTTCTGACATGATATACCATTTACTATAAGTTGAGAAGTAAACGTGTCAGAACCAGCATTGTTTTTGGCTATACATGTGTAATTCCCTTGATTCGAGGGACCGACTGAAGGAATCGACAAGAAATTAGTAGAGTCTCCTAACATTTGCGTAGTAACACCCATGTTCGATGACAACACTTCGCCATAAAAATTCCATGATATCATCATTGGGCGATCTCCCTTGGAAATCGAGCACACAACTTGAATGGATTCGCCTGAGTTGACTGGACCATCTCCGAACGAAAATGGTACAATCTTTGGTAACACTGAAATAATGCTTTACACTGTGTTATTTTATTTTGGTCCATACTAATATTAAATGCATGATAAGTTATTGTGTCTATATAATATTAAAATAAAACTAATACAAAAGTTCATACAAAAATAAACATTTTTATCCCCTAGAGAAGCATGTCGTTTTACGTTACTTTACTTAGTTCAATATTTAAGCTATGTATTTCTCATTAAAAAACTAAATGTTGAGTATTATTGCTTTAGATCATATCTTTTCTGTAAAAAAAACTCTATTATTTCTTTTAATTCATTCTGCCTTAAATTAATAATAAATCACAGTGACTTAAAAAAAAACTATCTTTTAGTATACATTTTTTTTTTTTTAATATATCATATTTGTTTTTTAAACCTTAGGGATGCGTTTAGGACAAGGATAGTTGCATCTAAAAAATCTACTATTTAAAAGTGTGTTGAGTACCGTTGACTAAAAGTTGAGCCGTATATGAGTCATAACCGGCAGAATTTTTTGCCACGCAAGTATAATGGCCTCGATTTGAAGGCGCTACAGATGATATCAATAAAACATTCATCGAATCTCCAAAAGGCATAGTACTAACACCCATATTTGATGACAATTCTTCACCGTGGAAATTCCAAGTTATTTTCAAAGGTTTATCACCCTCAGTAACCGTGCATGGAACTTGTACAGTGTTACCAGCGTTGCTCGGAATATTACCAAAAGAAAAAGGCAATATTTTTGGGCGCACTACAAAAATATGATTTTTTTTTAAAATTATTTTCCATTAGTTTTAAAGTAAAAAAAATTCATTCTTCATTTTGACTGAAATAAATGTCCGATTCTAAAACATAATTTTATGTTTGTTTTATTTTATTGGTTCTTTACAATATAACCCAAGTCACAAAGTGACTTTACTAACAACGATGGTTTTTGGACTTGCTCTGGATGGATGTGGATAAGGATTGTTGCGTTCCAATAAAATCATGTATTTTGATAACATAAGTACACAATTCAAGTATACCATTGACAAACAGTTGAGCTGTATACGAATCATAGCCAGCGACGTTTTTCGCTACACATGTATAGTTTCCACGATTTGAGGGTGCTACGGATGGTATGAACAAAGCATTCATCGAATCGCCAACAGCCATAGTGCTTACGCCCATGTTTGATGACAGTTCTTCTCCGTAAAAATTCCAACTTATGCGCAAAGGTTTATCACCTTCAGACACTGTGCACGCGACTTGCACAGTGTTACCAGCACTGCTTGGAGTATCTCCAAAATTAAACGGCAGTATCTTTGGACGAACTGTAATAGTGTAAAAAGCAATCGCAACAAATACTTAACTAGATAAGACAACTCTATCGTATATACAACGCTAAATCAAATTTCCTGACAAAGAAAAAACTGGCGCTAAATGACTTCACAATGACGGTGCATAGAATTTTATACTAACAGTTAAAAAACCCTATACATTTCAAAATGTAACATCAATCAGGAATT